TCTCTTCTTGCATAGCACGCAAGTTTCATTTTGTGCTGTTAGTGTGTGGTATGGAATGAGCTTGTCTGAGAATAACAGGTGTCTGAGGTATCAAGTTTAGTAGCTCAGATTACAGCTGGGAGCAGTTCTTAAATAGAGGCTGACTGGCTTGTCTCCCACTCATTCTTCTGTGAGTAGGAGGGTTAGTCAGGAGTTGGTTTGATGGTGACCTAGTCAAGTAGATCTAAGCAATTAACCTTCTGCCATGTAGGGCATCATGAAAGCCCCTTTTTTTCCATTGCCTCGCTTGAGCAGCAGCAGTCTGATTGCTGTGCTGTCCAACATCTCCTTCAAATGGCCCTGGTGTAAATTCAGAGCAGAACTGCTGTCAGTGGAGTTTCTGTGTAGTGATGCACGGACCAACCTCTTGTGCGTCTCTTGCCTGGTACCAGCAGGCAGCAAAGTGCAGCAGCTGCAGAGGGGTGATGGTGCCTGCTTTGTGACGGAGAAGAGCAGGACAGCCCCAGCTTTCAGTCTGACTCTGCTTGGCTGTGCTTCATATCATTAAGGTTCTCTCACTAATGAAGAATCTCTTGTGTAACTAGTTCTATCCTCCATAAAGTCTGGCTCCTTTTCCTCACCCATCTATCAAGCCCTGTTGAAATACTGTCCGTCATGAATAAACTCCACTTATGCTGCGCATGTACCATGTGATTTATGACTCGTGAGGGCTTTCTAGCCAGCACTCTATATTCACACTCTGGCTGTGTTTCATGAAAAGCTCTAATGGAAGAGCTGTGCTGTAGGCTTTGTCAGGGCTGCCTTTCGAGGGGGGCTCGTGGCATTTTTCATTTGTATGGGCTGCATCTCTCCACTAGAGCTCTGCTCATGTGCAGGGTTTGATTGGCATTGATTGTGCTTCAGGGAAGGGAGGACGCTTAGCAAGAAAAGAGCAGGCGTTTCTCAAAACCTTGACTTTAAGGTAGTGAATTGACCTGGATTAGCTTTTGACACACTGTAAATGAACACTTCTGGAGGAATAGCTAGCATGTGGAACCTGAGTCCTGTGTTTCAGGTTTTATATATTCCTTTTGTGATGATGCATTTCATATTAAATCATTTCTAGACACCATTTTTCATGAGTTGTCAGTACGGCTGCAGCCCCCTTTGTTCCAGAAAGTGGTGGTGCTGCCAAGCTGCATCTGAAAAGTACCTGTTGCATCACAGCTATTCCAAGGAGCTGTTCTGCATTCTGTCCTTCCAGCTCTCAGTGGTGGGGCTTATGCATTTAGCTAGATAAGCAGATCTTTCATTGCAATTTTCCTGTGTTTGTCCTTTCTCTTGCTTGTGATATTGACAAGCTGCCTAAATCCCAGGGAGTGGAAGGGTCAGCCTAGTCTATATGAATTTCCAATCTTGCTAGAAGAACTAGAACAATCTCTTGGACTTTGCTTAATTCCAGGGGATTTATAGTACTTTAGATGTTACAGTGCTGAGCACCTGAAGAGAACATATGTGACATTTTGTGGGCTACCTTGTTTCAGTGGCTGGAGAGAAATGACTTCTCTTTGTTCCCTCAGAGGTGGACTGAGAGAGGTGCACTCGGATGCAGTGAACCACTTAATAGGCTCTGTTGATCAGCATTGTTAACCTTGGAGGTGACATGGTCCAGAAGTGACAGTGGGTTACGGACAGTGGTGCTCCCTGTGGTTTGGAATTAAAGGGAAAAAAACCCAAAACCCAACCTCTTTTGCTGCCATAGGAGGTGCACTGTACTTTTTTGAAAGCAGAACGTTGCCAGCCACTGCCTGGTCATGTCTCGGTGAAGTCACTGAAAATATTCAGGTACCTGTAGTGAGTGAACTGCAGTTGGAAGAGGGTTGGAGGGGAAGTAATGTTTGACTTAGAGCATTGCAGCATGACGTTCTTGGCTGTCTTGCATGCACGTTTGCCCTGCCTGGGCTTATCAGCCTTTCTTTTCCACACTGATAGCTGTGTGGTCAGTGACCATCTCCTGTGTTGAGAGCTCTCACCCTCAGTACCATCCAGGAATCCTGGACAAATTCAGCAACATTGCTTCCTATGCCAGGAGAGCCCAGAGCAGTGGCCATCAGCAGGCTGCTGCTGAACAGACTGGTCTGGAAATATTTTGGTTGCTGTGTGATGTTATGGATTGTCCTGTCAGCTCCAAAGCCAGGCTGCTTTCCCTGAAAACAAAGCTTCGGTTATTCGTGAGTGCCTGCTGCAGTGAGAGCTGAGCAGGGTATAAAACTATCCTTTCCTTTCAAAGTCACCACTGATAACTAATGGGATGGCTCGAGTAAATGAGAAGAATAGTTGATCTTAATAGAGCTGGCACTGGGTTCATTTCACTGCAGGCACTTGGAGCAAATGGCCTCAGACTGTATTTTAGCTAGGAAACAAGCAGATATCCTATGGAGGGAATAAGGGTATGCACTGTAAGAAGACTGCAGGAGCGAGGTTCTCGGGTCAAAAAAAAGTGAGGAATGACGATACAAGTAAGGTATAAGGAAGATAAATCCCCATGGAAGTGGGATGTGTTGGGAAAGATCAGTGTTTGTGAGGCAGTAAGCTGATGGTGGGGTGCTCATGAGGTCTCTTTTGTCACAGCAGAGTTCAGCTAATTCTGTAACTGGTTTTATAGCACTGGTTTCCATTTGCTTGCCAATTGCCAAAACCTTAGAAGAACTCCTCAATGCTGCTGTCCTAAGTGTGTCACCTGTGTCTTTGATGGTATCTTAAGGGGTATGAACAGGGTTAACCTTGTCTAAAGTTAGATGGTTTGCAGATGGGACCCATGCAGTCTGATGCCTATCAGGGGAAGGCAGGTTGCCTTGGGTCTTGCCAGCTCTAGAGAGCTGCGTTGTTTCACCCTCATTCCTTCAAGTCCGAGAGCATGAATAAAAGCTAGAGGAGAGCCGTGAGCTTCCAGGTCTGGTAGCTGTCCTATTCTCCCAAATCTCTGCAATACTTACTTCATTTATGACTCCGTTCTCCAGTTCCACTAATGTTTCCAGGTACTGTAAGTCTAAGAGCACTTCTGTAGACCTTGGCTTTGAAATAAAGGATTCATTGATTCATTCTGCATCACCATAGTATACTGTATTCAGAAGTGTCCATGACTCTGTGAAAGGCTTCCTTGTGGTGGTGGTGGCCTGTCTCTTACCAAAGAAGTTACTATAACCTATTTATTTCATGTTTCTTTTTAAGGAGGTCAATTCAGTTGTGTTAATTTCAAAGTTACGATGGCTTCCCTATTTGCCTTTGCTACAGATACTGCCAGATAGGTGAAAGAATTATTTCAGGCCAGAAGAGCATCTTACGTATTATTTTTAAAGTCGTTAATCACAAAGTTCTTGTCTGGCTGTGAACAAATCCCATGGGGAGGACCCAGGAACTGGCTGTGCTGCCCTGGACACCTGCAGAGTGTAGTGAGTGGTCAGTGTGCTGGGAGGTGGAAGGGACA